ATTCGTTCTATTTTAAATGATCGATCTAAGCCCCTGTTCTCAGTCCCAGTGCTTTGAACATTGTTGACTCCACTATCCCAACCTGAGAAGTAGGCACTTGACTGAGACTTGGCCACTCAGACTATTCCATCCCTCTGGCCACAGGGGTTGGTTCAAGGATGGGTAAGTGACCCAGGTCGGTCCCATGAGAGTCTGTTCATGACTTTTGCTGGGAAAGAGAATCTCTCTTTTTCCAGGGTTGCCCATCTGTTAAGTTATAAACCTGGAGCTCTGGTGGTCGTCTTTGGTATCAATGGAGAGAACCTGCCCAAGAATTAAACACATAAGAAAGAAGAAAGAGAATCCTGATGATCTTGATAGCATCATTTGAGCAACTGGATTCAGTCTCTGGACTTGTCAGTTGTGTGAACCCCTAAATTCCTTTTTTTTTTTGGCTTATATTGATTTAAGCTGGGTTTCTGTATCTTGTAACCCAAAGAGACCTGGCTAATAAAGACAAATTCCTTGCTTACAGTTTGAAATAGATGCTCTGATGCTGTATAAATATGAGAGTAAAATCTGGACATAGACAAAAGGAAATGGGTTCAGAAATAGATGCATATGAAGGGAAAAAAATAGTTTACTCAATAGCTAGTGCACCCCCTTTTCTTTCCCTGTTTGTTTTTATCTACCATAAGCAAGGAAGCAGGACACCTTATGGGTCTTTGAAAAAGCCTGAAGACTGGGTGTCTGTTTTGTGTCTAAGCTGCAGCTGGGTGTGAAAAAGAAACAAAGATCTTGTCTCAAACTTGGTAACGTTGTACTGTGGGAATCCACACCCACAGCTCAGACTCTGTGACTCTGTCTAATTAACTGTGGTCTCTGAGTCTTGGTTTCATTACCCATAAAAAGAGGCAGCTGGACTAAGGTCCCTTCTAGTATTAATGTCCCAAAATCCTATTGCAGAGCTCCCAAGGGAGGCTATAGGCGAAATTTGTGTCACGTGGAGAGACCCTACCTAGGGTTGGTGAGTCTTGGTTTGTCAATTCCAAAATGGAAGTAGATCAGTGGTGGGTGTGGTTCTCTGAAAATGCAGCATGGTTGAAATGAATCAATGTGGGCATTCTTTGATGAATGTCCTTGTTTTATGTGCATATCAATTCTGCTTTTCAGACCAGTCAAACCAGGCCCCCAAGTCTAGCCAGCGGGCTGTTTATCTCACCTTGACTCTGAGAACTGGGAAAGCCTGGGATGAACCTGGCATCATGCAAAACTACATCGAGGGGCTCAACAAGGTCATCAAATCAATCTCTCGGGCTTCCCTGGTGGCGCAGTGGTTGGGAGTCCGCCTGCCGATGCAGGGGACATGGGTTCATGCCCCAGTCTGGGAAGATCCCACATACCGCGGAGTGGCTGGGCCTGTGAGCCACGGCCGCTGAGCCTGCGCGTCCGGAGCCTGTTGCTCTGCAATGTGAGAGGCCCGCGTAACGAAAAAAAAAAAAAAAATCAATCTCTCCTCTTCTCTCTCCCCCTCTGTGTCTCTGTCTCTCTCTCCCCAACTCCTCGTTCCCACTTGGTTTTTGCCTGTCAGCTTCATTCTCAGGAAGGCTTTCCCCACATGGAGACAGAAATGGCAACCAGCAGTTCCAGAAAAAGACCCAAGGCAGACATTAAATGGCCCTGCTTCTACCCCTGAACCAGCTGGGCTGAAGAGGCACAAAACCTCCATCCACTAACCCTGTCCACAGTGTTTGAATTTTATTCGGAGGAACAAAGGAGGAATCTTAAAACATTTGAGTAAGGGGTTGACATGGTCAGATCTGTGCATCAGGGAGGAGTCTGGCTGAGGTACAGGGATTGGGGCAACAGAGGAGATGGAGCTAGAGAGACTTGTTAGAGGCTCTTGGAATCATTCTGGGCAGAAGTGAGCAGGGGTTGAACTAGAGTACAGTAAGTCCCCTATATAGGAACGAGTTCTGTTCCGAGAGCGTTTGTAAGTCCAACAAAGTTAGCCTTAGGCACCCAACTAACACAATCGGCTATATAGTACTGTACTGTAATAGTTTTATAATACTTTTAACACAAACAATACACAAAAAATAAAACATTTTTAATATTACAATACAGTACCTTGAAAAGTACAGTACCACAGCTGGTATAGAGGGGCTGGACTCAAGTGAACAGGCAAGAAGAGTTACTGACTAGAGGAGGGAGAAGAGGGAGGAGATGATAGAGCTGAAAGATCGTCAGCAATAGGAGACGGAGGGCAAGCTGCAATTTCACGTGAACTAACTTACGTGATTGGACATGCGAACACATGTTTGAATCTTTGAAAGTTCACAACTTGAAGGTTCATATGTAGGGGACTTACTGTAATGGCAGTTGGGACGGAGGATGTATCAGTCAGGAAAGAAACTGGTGTCAGCAGAGTGGAAAAGAGTTGCTGGTTGAGGGAAGGTGGGAGGGAGACCCAAGAAGGAGGAGATATGGGGATATATGTATATGTATAGCTGATTCACTTTGTTGTAAAGCAGAAACTAACACACCATTGTAAAGCAATTATACTCTAAAAAAGACGTTAAAAAAAAAAAAAGAGTTGCTGGTTGATTAGCAGCATTGGGAAAGAAAGAAGTGTTGTTTATCGAATGCCAACCACGAGTTGGGCCCTGGGCCTGGCAGTCTGATGGAAGAGCTGGACCTGTAAACAATTACTATCCAATGTACTAATCACTGTGAGAGAGGGATGCATCGGGAGCCACTAGTACAGGGGAGAAAAGAAAGCATTTGAGGAGTGGCTGTGTGGGGGAGGGAGGTATGAGTCCTTAGCAAACAAGGACTAAGACACTGCAGGCCTGCGCCAAAGGCAAAGAATAGAGTCCAGAAATATTGTCGGCCAGAAAAACCACATCCAAACGAAAGATATTTGTTTTGGCTGTGTTGGGTGTTGGTTGCTGCGCGGGGTCCTCCTCTAGTTGCGGCGAGTGGGGGCCACTCTTCGTTGCAGTGAGTGGGTTTCTCATTGGGTGGCTTCTCTCGTTGCAGAGCACGGGCTCTAGGTGCACAGGCTTCAGCAGTTGTGGCGCATGGGCTTAGTTGCTCTGCGGCATGTGGGATCTTCCCAAACCGGGACTCGAACCCGTGTCCCCTGCATTGGCAGGTGGATTCTTAACCACTGTGCCCCCAGGAAAGCCCCAAAGATATATTTAATTTTGCTCATCTAACATTTTTAGAAATGTTTGAATTGGTTGCCAATGTAAAAAGATCTGGAGCTTTCATTTAAAAATCCATATTTCTAACTTGTCTTGAAAAACCAGAAGCACCAGAAGGTTTAGCTACACAGTGCCCTCATTCTTGCCCAGTGACAAAGGGCTAGAGCAGCTGCCGTCCCTCCAGTCCCTATTAGAACTCACCTGGCCTGCATCAGCAATTCGTGTTACCCATGGTGGCTTAAAGATGGCTGCAAATTCTTTGTAACTCTCTGCATCAAAAGGAGGAGTTAATCTTCCCTCTCCTGGGATCTGGGCTGGTCCTGTAACTGCTTAACTAAAAGAATGTGGTGGAAGGAACCCTATGCAAATCACAGGCCTATCCTCTTGGAGCATTCTCTCAGGACACTCCCTTTCCAAACTCTAAAATAATGAGAGCTAATAAAGCAGTTATCGTTTTAAGTCATCAAGTTTTGGAATGGTTTACTCCGTACAGGTAACTGGAACACCAACCTCCACTCCTTCCCTTGTAGACATCCGAGGGCTCAGCCTCTGGACCAGAGGAATGAGGGAGCATGTTGAGCTTGGGTGATGATGAACAGCAAGGCCAGAGGGTGGATGGGGGAAGATCATGAAGGGCTTTTGATGCCATGCTGAGGGAGTTTCAGTGTTTTCCCAGAAATGTTCAGGAGCTGGTAGCGTTTCGTAAGGTCGGCATAGTATGACTGGGGCGATGACTCTAGTGATGCTGTAGAACAGGGGTCCCCAACCCCTGGACCACGGACTGGTACCGGTCCATGGCCTGTTAGGAACCAGGCTGCACAGCAGGAGTTGAGCGGAGGGCGAGCAAGTGAAGCTTCATCTGTATTTACAGCCGCTCCCCATCGCTCACATTACCGCCTAAGCTCCGCCTCCTGCCAGCATTATGGTGAGTTATATAATTATTTTATTATGTATTACAATAATTTAAGTAATAGAAATAAAGTGCACAATAAATGTGATGCGCTTGAATCATCCCAAAACCATCCCCTCCCGCCCTGGTCTGTGGAAAAATTGTCTTCCACGAAACCAGTCCCTGGTAGAAGATGAATCAGAAGAAGGCGATCGGTCAGGGAGCTAGCACCATGGTCCAAGCAGCGCAGCTCAGGCGGTGGTGGTGGGCATGGAGAGAAAGGGAGAGATTCAAGTTCAAGACTTTCTCCTCTTGTGAGGCTCTCCCTGAGGTCCTAATGGGACATGCCGGTCGAGCTATGGAGTTGCTAGTCAGAACTAGGGAGCACAGGCAGTAGGACTGAGCCACAGAGACAGACTGGGGACTGTCAGAGTTTGAACTTGTGGATGTGGAAGAGATGGTGTAGGGAGATTGGGTGCACTGGAAGAGGTGGTGTCCTGGGAGCATCCTACAGATAGTTGTGTTACGCAAAGGGAGAGACACCCTGCAGGGGACTGAGAGAAAACTTCAGAGCAAAGAAGGGAACCAGGAGATGTTGGGCCCAGACACCAAAGAAAGGAAAGATTCTAGAGGAAGGGAGTGGTAGGTAGCATCAGATGATCACCAGAACGTGCTCATTTGATGTAATGATCAGGAGATCACTGGTGGCTGAGGCAAGGGCACGTCTGTGCGGAAAGGTGGGAACAGAAGCCAGACTCATGAGACTAAGTAGGAAATGAGGAAGTGAAGACAGTAAGTGTAAACAACTCTTTCAAGAAACTTGATTGTGAACGGTAAGACAGAGATAGGGAAGTGGTTTGAGGTTGCCAAGTTGAGAGAGGTTCCCCCAAAGACACAGGGGAGCTCAGCTTGTTTTTAGATACTGAAGAGAGAGTATCTGTGGAGAGGAGAACTTGGCAGTGCAGGAGAAAGGGGTTAAACGATGGAGTGAGGTCACTGAGGAAGTGGGAAGGAATGTGTCCCAAGAGGGAGGCATGAGCCTTGGGCCCTAGGAGGACACCTCCCCTGTAACGACAGCCTATGGTTGTTTCTAGGAGCTGGAGATGTTGTTGCTGTTGGGAGTAAAGGGGTTGAAAGAATTCTTGCCTCTTTTCTCCATAAAATAGGAGCAGTGATCATCTCATAAAGGTAAGGAAGGCAGCCTGAGGAGGTGGCTGGCGAGAAGTGGCCGGCAAGGTTGGCTTAGACCTGAGCCTGTGGACAAGGCATGTTTACGTGCCTCCTGCTTAAGGCCAGGATGGTTCCTGAATGTGGGTCAGGGCGGAGCCTGAAGGTGGATGGGGGACCACAACTGTGAGAAGTCCTGGGGGCCACAGGGGCAGGGTCCAGGCTGTCAGAGTAACTTCTTGCAAATGAGACCCTGTCACTCCTTTACTTAGAGACTTGCATAGGGAGCAAACTCCTTGAGAAGACACAGCTTGAGGTCCCTCATGAGCTGCCTCCTGGGGATTTTCCCAGCTTCACCACTTTCCCCTTCATCCCAAGCCCCTGAGCTCCAGCCATGGTGAAGAGCTCACCATTCCCTTAAAACGTCATTGTCCCTTCCTCGCTTTTCTTCCTCTCTCTTCTCTGCTTGGCAAACTCTTATTCAAGACCCAGTATAAGTGTAATTTCATTCACCCGTTCCACCACCATCTACGGACCATGCTTCCATCCTGGTTCGCCCTCCAGATCCCACTGCTCTTGGCTTTTGTGCCCTCCTCTGCTTCGGGAGGTCGACTGGTGTTGGGGAAATGAATAAAGCAGTCTTGTTCAGGCTTCAGAGGCAGAAGCAGGCCTCTGACCGACCTGTAACCCTGCCTGGACTGCGGGCTTACTTGCACACGCAACAATTACTGCTGGCAAGTCAAGCAGCGCTTACTATAAGAAAGGGAGTGGGTCTTGGAATTCCTTGAGCCCTGGGGACCTGGCCAGCCCCCCAGGGTCTGGAAACTCTTGTGACCCACATGGTGAAACCAACAGCATTATTAAAGTAAACTCAGACCTCCATCTTTGCACGCAGACTGATCATATCAGTTTGCGGCCTGGAATTATAAACGGAAGCCCCCAGAACTCCAATCTGAAGTCTCACCCGTGGGGTGTACGAACCGCCCGGGACCCTTCCCAACTGGGGCTCCAGATCACTGTCACTTGGAACTTCCCAGCTGTTACTTGGATCTGGAAGTAGGTGTCGGCCCAATTCGGTGATGTAGATACCCTGTTATGTTTCTCTAATATTCTTGTTCCTTTCCTTCTAAAGATTGTATATTAAAATTAAGTTAAATCACCTTTCATTAAAGAATTGATTAAAGCTGTTTATTTGTGTGAAACGAGTGGTTGTTTTGTCAACAAATCCAACGAACCTTAAAACCGAGAGCAGGCTTTCGGCAAAACAACTGGAAACCGTGAATGGACTCATGGGTTTCAAGGGTCACACAGACTTGTATTTGGATCCCAGTTTGTGTGACTGTGGGTAGGTCATTTACTGCCTGTGAGCCTCATTTTGGTCATCTGTAAAAGAGGGACAATAAAACACATCACAGAGCTCTTGAGACTCTTCAGTGATGGAATGTTGGTGCAGCACCAAGGACCCAGTGCTGCTTGGAGCATTTGGGACTCTTGGTTGTAAGTGACGGAATCTAATTTTTAAAAATCTACTTTTAGGGACTTCCCTGGTGGCACAGTGGTTAAGAATCCGCCTGCCAATGCAGGGGACATGGGTTTGAGCCCTGGTCCGGGAAGATCCCACGTGCCACAGAGCAACTAAGCCCACGAGCCACAACTACTGAGCCTGAGCTCTAGAGCTGGCAAGCCACAACTACTGAAGTTTGTGCACCTACAGCCCGTGCTCTGCAGCAAGAGAAGCCACCACAATGAGAAGCCTGAGCACTGCGACCAAGAGTAGCCCCCGCTCGCTGCAACTAGAGAAAGCCCACGTGCAGCAACGAAGACCCAATGCAGACAAAAATAAATAAATGAATAAACAAACCAGGGTCTCCCTGCTTTAAAACTCATGCTTTAAAAAAAAAAAATCTCCGTTTACAGTTGATTTGTTTGAATCAGGATCCAGAGAAAGTTCACATGTTACCGTTAGTTGATATGTTTCTTAAGGCTCTTTTAATATATTTCCCCTCCTTTGAATGCCATTTATTTGTTGAAGCCAGATCGTTTATCCTGTAAAATTTTCTACATTACAGATTTAGGTAATTGCTTCCTCTTGGTATTGTTTAACCTGGTCTTCTATCCTTTTTATTTCCTATAAACTAATAGCTAGATCTAGAGGCTCCATTAGATTCTGGCTGGTGATGATGACGATGATGATGGTGATGATTTTGGCAAGAATACTGCAAAGGTGACGCTACATACTTATTATATCATTTTATGGGAGGCCTGTAATATCTGGGTGTCCTACTTTTGGTGATGTTAAGAGTCATTTCTGAGTTCTTTTTTTCTTTTTCTTTTCTTTTTTTAGGTAATCATGGAGATTTGAACATAAATTGGGAATTAGATGATGTGAAGAAATTATTGCTAGGGACTTCCCTGGTGGTCCAGTGGTTAAGAATCCACCTTCCAGTGCAGGGGACGCGGGTTCGTTACCGAGTTGGGGAACTAGATCCCACATGCCGCAGGGTAACTAAGCCCACACACCGCAAATACTGAGCATGCACACCACAACTAGAGAGAAGCCCGCGCACTGCAACGAAAGATCCCGCATGCCGCAAGGAAGATCCCATGTGCCGCCACTAAGACCCGACGCAGCCAAAAATAAATAAATATTTTTTTTAAAAATAAGAGAGCTTCCCTGGTGGCGCAGTGGTTAGGAATCCACCTGCCAACGCAGGGGACACGGGTTTGAGTCCTGGTCGGGGAAGAACCCACATACTGCGGAGCAACTGGGCCCGTGTGCCACAACTACTGAAGCCCCCACACCTGGAGCCCGTGCTCCACAACAAGAGAAGCCACTGCTGTGAGAAGCCCGCGCACCGCAACGAAGAGTGGCCCCCGCTCGCCACAACCAGAGGAGGCCCACGTGCAGCAACAAAGACACAACGCAGCCAAAAAAAAAAAATCAAAAAATTAAAAAAAAAAGAAATTATTGCTAAACATTTTAGGTATAATTATGTATTACATAATGGTATTGTGCTTGGGTAAAATAAAAATCCTTATCTGACATACAATAACATGGATTAATTTCAAAACATTATGCTGAATGGAAAAAGACAGACCCATACTGTATGATTTCATTTGTATGGAACATTCTAGAGCAGGCAAAACTAATCTATACTGACAGAAAGCAGGTCAGTGGTTGCCAGGGTCTGAGGGTGGAAACTGATTGTAGAAGGGTGTGAACTTTTAGGAGTGATGGAAATATTTTATATCTTGATTATGGTGGTAATTACTTGGGTATATACATTTGTCCAAACTAATTGAACCATGCACTTAAACTGAGTGTGCTATATTGTATGGGAGTAAAGATATATTTTATTGTATGTAAATAAAGTTGATTTTTGAAAGGAAATAAAATAAGGTTACAACTAGAATGAGAAGAATCCATTCAAAGTAGCCACAAAACTATAATACACCTATTGGGGGGGAGAAATTTAATGATATACTAGACCTTTATAGAGAAAATTATAAAATCATATTAAGGGACATAAAAGAAGACATAAATATATGGAGAAATACACTATATTCATGGATGGAAGTCTTAATATCCTTCTCAAATTAATCTATAAAGTTAATGCAATTTTATTAAAAACTCTAAGAGTTTAAAAGTCTTTATCTGTTGGAAATAAATGCAGAAGTACTTAAGTTGAAATGCTATGATGTCTTGGATTTCTTTTAATACATGCCAAGAAAATAATGTGGAAGAAGGAATGAACGAGTATTGGCCATGTGGTGGTACTTGTTGAAGCTGGGTGATGGGTACACACTCTAGTGTAAGTGAGCAGTGCTGTGCACCTTTACTGGTGAGGAAACATCACTGGGCTAGGGCAGCAGGAGAACCATGAAGGAAAGATTCTCTGGGGCTGACTCCATCATGCTCTACAGACCTTTAGGGCAGGACAGACCAGAGGAGGTCTTGTGGGCCTTGCTAAGGAGTTTGAACTTTATCCCGTGCTCAGCATTTCAGTCCCTCTTTCCTCTGTGTATCTGGCACCTTGGAAGGGCCTCCGGTCCTGTCTCCCTCCATGGTGGGTGTACCAGTCAGAACACTTTCAACTGTAAATGCCAGAAACCAACTCAAACGTAGTGACTTATGTGGAAAAAGGAACTTATGAAAGGTTAAGGGACTCAGGCACAGCTTGATCCCGATACTCAAATGATGTCAAGAGTATGGCTGTCTTCATATCCTGTGTCTGCAGTCCTCTGTGTGGGCTCATTCTGGGTGGCTTTTCCTGCATGGTGTCAAGACGGTCACTAGTAGTCCTGGGCTTACAGCCTTTTAGCTTACTAACCCCCAGTGGAAAGAGGGATCTTTTTCCTAGCAGCTCCAGTGAATCTGCTTCTGCACGCATAGACTTGATTTAAGTGGCCACCCCTGAACCAGTCAAAAAAGGTAGCTTTGACTGGGGAAACGTGGACTGTGTGCCTACCCTGGACACCCTCTCAAACCTCAAGGATTGCCAGTGCATAAAGGTTGGTTTCTTCAAGGAAAACCCAGATGCAGCCTCCAGGAAAGAGGGGATGGTAAGATGCTGGTCCAGTGGCATCTGGCAGGAACACCCTCCCGACACCCCTCGCAGGAAGGATCAGCCTCACCTTAATCACATGAAGAGCCGTATGGCAGGGCCCTTCAGCACCCACTACTGAACTAACGCTCACTCTTGTTTTGCTGGGACAGCTGCTGCCTCACAACCTCCACTACCAGCCTCGCGTCTGTGCCCCCCGCCCCACAGCAGACCAGCTGGAATGAGAAAGTAGCCTCTGCGCATCCCCACCTTTCCCTCTCCACGCCTGTCAGGCTCTGCCTCAGGGCGCATGGTTTTCAGGCCCCTCACAACGTGCTTGTCCTCTGCCTGGAAATGAGGTGCCCCAGGACTGAAGGTCATGGGTGCCTCAGTTTCCTCTCTTTACATTAGAGGTGGTACCTGCCCCCGGGTGTGTTGTGAGGATTAAGCGAGTGCAGCGTATTTATAGTGTTAGAGCATTGCCCAGCACACAGTAGGTGCTCAGTAAATCCCAGCCGTTATTCTCATCACTTCCGCTGGAGACACAATCCCTGCCCATCCCCGTCCAGTCCAGTAGCAGGCTCTCAGGTGAAATACAACACAGAGGTTCTTACAATTGGATGCTTGAATGGAATAAAAGTGTGTAGGACACTTTTATAACCACTCGAGCCTCATAACTGTAAGCTGGACGGGACAAATCATATTTAGCCTCCATTTACAGATGAAGAAACTGAGGTTTAGACCTCTTGCCCAAGATCACGCAGCCAAGCTGTGGTGGAGGCAGGATTTGAACCAGGGGCTGAAGGATCACATCGTTGGGACTTTGCTCAGGCTGCCCCTCTGCTGACAAGACCTCCTCCGGTCACGCCTGTTGGCCCCTTCTCATCCTTTCAGGTTCAGTTCCAATACTCTAAACAGTAACAGTGGTGAGAGGCAACATTTATTAAGTGCTTGCTACACTTTGGATGAGGTGCAGAAGGCTTTCTGTTCCAATCAAGTCAGGAGGTAGGTATGAAGCTGTTACAGAAAGAGAAACTGAGGCTGACAGAGGTTAAGGAACCTGCCCAACGTCACTCAGTAGGTGTGCCAGCCGGCCAGGAGTCAAGCTCGTAAAGCAGTCTGATTCTAGAGCGGGTCTTTCCGCATTGCTACCTCCGAGACTCTGATGCCAAGGATGGGAACGAACTCCTTCCTCTTAGTCTGAAGTCTGGGCTTCGGCCTCTACTTAGCTCTTGGAGCTGTTATTTGTGCCTCTCCTTTCAGTAGACTGAGCGCTCTTTGGGGCAGGAACTCAACTCTGACTTTTTCACTTCCGTAGCCCCTGCGCAAAGAGGCTCTCCTATAACACCAAATTATTTCATTTGCCCCTGTGAGGCAGGCAGAGGTGCTCCTAGGTGAGGACAGACCCAGAGAAGTTAAGTGACTCTCCCAAGGCCACCTGCTTGTAAATGTAGGAGCCTGGAGAGGCCCCAGGCTTCCTGGGTGCAGGTGGGTGCAGGGTTCTCCCTCCTCCTTGTCCCCCCGCCTTCCTGTTCCCTGAGCGTCGTCGGTGGGGGAAGAGATGGCAGCATAGCCTTAGCTGGGGCGGGGGGGCTGTACCAAGGCCGCTGGGAGGACTGATGGGCCCTTTTACGAATGCCAGGCGAAGGATGGCGAGTAGGCTGGGGGTGGGCTGAAGGAGGGAAGAAGGAACGGGTATTTTTTACATTTTGACATTAAAAAGTGCAGATCAGATTGTCAGCGACGGGCCAGCAGCATCTGTTTTGGTTTCGAATTGGCAGCTAAGGCGCTGAGCTTCTCCGCGGAGGGAGGGGAGGGGAGGGGAGGGGAGGCTGCGGGCTGGTGGGGCGAGGCGGCGCCTCTGCGGAGGGAAGGGCTCTCCCCTTTAAGAGCTCCGCCCAAAGGGGCGCTGCCACCCCTAAGGAGGCGGGCGCCGCCGCTTCTCATTCATTGTCTTGACAAGAGCATCCTCAGCCGGCAGTCGCAGGCTCCTCCAGCTGCTTCCTCCTCCTCCTCTCCCTCCTCCGTCTGGGGGGTCATTCATCTCTCAGCAGCAGGTAAGGCTGGAGCCCGGGGACGGGACTCGGCATCGCTGCCCTGGGCCACCTGTGGGGCAGGCGGGAGCCTGGCAGAAGCCCTCTGCGGGGGCCGACAGACTGTCAGAGCGAGCTGGCTCGGAGGCGGGGACAGAGCCCGTTCACGCCCCGCGTGGCGGGACTCGCCTGGGGTGTGGGTGCGCGGAGGAGGGTCCGTCTGCGTGTCTGAGAGCTCCGGGAGCGGGCGAGGGTGAGGGACCACCGCAGCCAAGATGGAGGTGGGGGAGCCCGGGGGTCAGGACACGCGCCGACCGGACTCTCCCCAGAATGGGAGTCTTTGGGGTGGCAGTCGGGGGCAGGGTGGGGTGAGCCCAGCAGCTGCCCTGAGCTTGGAGACAGGAAGGGGTTGAGAGCAAAACAAGAAAAGACCAAGTTCCCCTTTCCGTGGTTTCCGGGCCTGGTACCTGCGGTGGGGAAGGAGGTGGGGTGGCACGATGGCTTCCTGTCTCCCAACCTCCGATTTGCGGCTCCCTCTCCCCAGACCCAGGCTTCCCATCTGGGATGGACCCCCTGCCCCCAGACTGCTTCTCCTCACGCAAGCTCCTCACCTGCTTTCCGGGCGGGTGGACCCCGGAGCCTCTTGGAGAGTCACGGGATGGGCGAGGCTGGCTGGAGCCCCCAGTGAGAAGGGCTAGGCCTGAAGGGGGGGCAAAAGGGTGAAGCTGGGGCCGTGGAGGAGAGGCCCTGGGGGGGCCCCCACGGTGAGCTGGAAGGCGATGCTGTTGGGCGCCAGGATGGGGGCCTGGAGCCTGGGGAGCCAGAGGCAGGCTCCTTGGCTTCGCTGTCACCCAGCCCGGGGGGAAAACCATCCTAGCTGGACCTCCGTCTGAGAAGTGGGTGCCGGCCTCTC